ATTAAATAATGGAGCCCGTAGATTCAAATTTTAGTAATTTGTTAATCACAAGGAGTTGTGATTGTGAGATACAAATTACATATGATTGAATCTTAAATCAATCGTGGTCGTAAATAATGACGAGATACAACTATCGTTATTACGGATAGAACATTACACGTTGCATTTTTTACTTATGAAATTAGTAACTGGTCTCACATGTTAAAGTGTGGTAATACTTGAATGAACACGTGGATGTTTTGTTATAGAACAAAATATTGGAGACTCGTTAAGAAATTTCACATGCATAACTATCTGAGTGTCAGTGGTTAATCTCTAACGTTCGGTAGTGAAATTGGTCATTTGACTTGAAGTCGTCATAGTACCTTATATGAGGACAATCATGATTTGACGCTGTTGGATGTTACTCTATCAAGGACCGCTAATACAGCATCATTCAGGTATGTCAAGAATAGTATGAAGGTTATGAATGACCAATAGATGATTCATCACTCTTAAATGATAAGAGATTATAATCTGCATTTCATTTAGTTAAGCCGATAACGAAATCCTTGGTCAATGTGTACTCAGAAATCGAAAATGAGTTTTCAACTTATATAAACTTAATAGTGGAATGAAAGATATGATCGATAATTGGGATTGACACACTTCCATATCTCGTAATTGATGAAATCATATTGACGAAGTGATTATAGTTTCACAGTAAACGAACGAGTTTTGTTTTGTCATATCACGTGACATTTCCCACCGCATGTATTACCTCGACACATTGCTGATGTCAATTTGGGACGGCGAATGTGAATTGATGATAAATTAAAAATTGTCTTTAATTTATCAATTTTGATTAAATCAAAATAATAATTCATGTCGTTAGGTATCGTGATTGGGAATCTAATGAGTCGCACACAAAAGAAGAATTAAAAGATTATGATTTGTCAATTAATTAATTTATCCAGTGTTAAATTAATTAATTAATTTGGTTGCTTATTTATATGTCCGAATTAATTAATTCATGGATTGAATTTAATTAAATAGGTTAATTAAATATTGGATCGGGTCAGGTCAAGCCAGTTTGAGTTTATCTAAATAAGTGGCTAGAGTTTAGAATTTGTAGAGAATTCATTCTTGCTAGCACAGGAAAGAGAGAACCGTGGTTCCCTACAATCTTGTACTCTGTGTGGAATTTCATTGGAGGCTGGACAATTGGATAGCTGTGAATGACAGATCAAGATTGCTGGAACAAAGGAAAAGTAAAGGAGTTTACAGATCTAGAAAAATGTATAACTTTTATCACAATTTCTATCTAAATACAAAGCAGATCTTTAATGGAAATTGAAATCTATTTTATTTTTCACTGCGCATTATCAGTAAATTCCTAACAAATACTGCGTGGATTTAGTGGGAAAAAGGGTCAATGGGCTGAATAAGAAGATTAGTATGGTCTCATTATTAATTACCTAGTTAAAGGACTTACTTTGTTTGGTAATATTTCAAATCAAAATCTTATTTGGTCCCATTTTTTAAAACTATTTTTTTTCAAATTCATTTTCAACTAATTTTATCAACTTTCCAACCACATATTTCATTAATTTTTATCAATATCTATTAAAAATCTACTAATTGTGATCAATGGCAAAGCTGAACCATTTTATACTTTATTAGTAGTGGAACCTTGTGTTTAATAAATATCAATTATGGCATCTTTCTCTTTTTAACATCATCAAACCGACAATAAGAGATTGTTAAACATCGATATTTGTGTACATTAAAGTCTTCCGTTGTCTTCGCTTCCTTTGCTTCCCAAATTTCCAATCCTTTATTCTTTTAGTACCATTTCTTTTGCATATATACTGTGTTTTTATTTAAGAGTACTGTATATACTTTTGGTAAACCTAAATCTAGAGGTGTCAACTAGTTAGTATCGGCGCCGGTGCTAAGAAACCTTGGCCGTTGAGGTCAGATCGAACTTACCCTTTTTGACACCTCTTTATAAAATATTATTTTATTGTCACGAGAGAAAATATATGAATAATAATCGTATTGTTATCCCATGATGTAACAGAACATATTTCGTGCCACCCAAGATCTAGCAATAAGAATATTTTGTGTCCCTACACTGCAATGGGGGACACAAGGGTGCATCTAAAGCCACTGATGAGTTCTAGAACACATCTTTAAAATGGTTCTTGGTTTTAATTTTTCTACTCCAGTAACTCCTTAAACCTAATCAATTATATCATTTCTTACTTTAGAATCTTCTTTCTAAGAGTACTTTAATTTCAATATACAATGTTGAGTACGAAGAATTAGATTTTATTAGAAAAAATTATATAAAACGTCAAACACAATCATTCGAGGTGAACAAGAATTGGAGATCAGAAGCGGGTGGAATTCTCATTAATGGCTGAGACGTTCAGTCGACTCTCCCCTCCTATGTGGGGTCCGAACCCTTACAAGTGAGTAAAAAAGACAGGAGGAAAGAGCCCAAAATAATTTATAATACACTGCAACATTGTTTAATGAATAATATGGTACCCTAAACGTATATCCGTAGTAATCGATAAATGCTCCATTTTTTAAAAGTGGGCAGAGTAATTGGAGTCCTACTCCCTCACCCAATTCACGTGAAGTCAAATTACTTTTGCCAGTTTTAAATGGCCCAAATCCATTATTTTTAGTAAATATTTATTTCTTCTCTGCATTTGTTTCCTTTTCCAGGGAAAAGAATAAAAATATTGGATAGAATCGACACTTTTAATTCTTCCCATCAGTTGATGTAATCCCTTCAACAGTTGTGAAATTCCTTCAACATTTGTCAAATTCCCACTCTGCATTTGGGGAGTTCAACAAATGGCTCACCAGGTACTAGCTTCCACCCACGCACCCACCACCGAGAAAGAAGACCCAAAAAACACACACATGCACAAAGCGATTAAGCTTGTTTTGTGACTTAGCTTGAGTAATGGGATTGTGTTGAATAAGAAAATCTTGAAATCTTTGTAAAAATTATTTGAGATTTCTTGGTTTTTGCAGGAAGAAGGGTGGCCTTTAGGTCTGCAACCACTAAATGTTAGAGTTGGGCTGGTGAGGAATCGTGATTTCAATGGCTCTATTTCTTTCAACACTTTAATCACTGGTTCCCCCACTTCTTCCACTGATTCTTCTTCTGATCTTGATACTCAGGTAACATTATACCCAAATGGATTTTTTTTTCTCTGTTTAAAAGAGATTATTTTGGTCATAGAATATCATTCTATCAACAATCTAACAAGCCCTTCAACTAATTTTTGATAATCAATTAGTCCCTGTTACCTCTTTTTTACCTTTTCTGGTAAGAGTAAACATTTCTCTGTAAAAGTTGGCTTATTTTCTTTGTGCATGTTCATGTTGGTTCGTTTTCTGTGTCAGATTGGGTCATGCTTAGTAAAAGTTAATAAGGTGTGCAAATACTCTCTCTTTTCACATGGCCTAATGATGTCGCTTTCACTCTTTCACTAGCTAGCTAGGCATTTGTCCAGTTTGTTAATTAAAGAACCCGCATGGAAACTGGTGAAAAATTGATGTTATATCATGAGTACTTGTAATTTGAACAGCTACTGGGATTGTGAAATAAAAATTCAAATACAACTGATGCCATTCTTGAAGGGATGGCTTGAGCTAATACTTTTTTTTAATGCATTATGAATTTATTACAGAGGTTATGCTACTTTGACAGAAAAGTGATTGACAGATGGAGTGACATAATGTTAGTTGGCAAGTAATTGAATGAAAAATTGACCGTGTTTAAAAAGCAGATGAGTGTCATGTGACAATATGTCAATGATTATATCACTGTAGCATGATTCTTATTAGAGATGGTTACATTGTTATTATCTAGATGATAACCTTTGTGGATTGTTTACTAGCTTTGTCCTTGTTATGTTAATGCTCTTCACCTGTTTCAGTCCACTGGTTCTTTCTTCCGCGACAAGAGTATCACTCTCGGGAACCTCATTGGTATTTCGAGCATTCTAGAGCTCTCAAGAAGATCAACAAGGGGAAGAATACCCGAACCACTAAGAAACAGGAAGAGTTACAAATCCAAGACTTGGTTTTTTTCACTATGCTCGAAGCTAAGCACTGATGCTGTAAGCATTAACAACACCTCATCTCTTGGTCACTTTCTTGAAGCAGAAAGGAGAGCTGCTAGCAATTACACAAGAAACCAGAGCCAGGATGCTTATGGTCCGGATGATTTTGCTTATGTTCCAGACCCGAATTCATTATTTGTTGAAGGCCATGTTGCTCCACCTCAGTCAAGTTCTTGGCTGGACTCATCAAACGGTGAAAGAAACTTCGAGAGAGACTTATTCCAGGATGGTGATGGATCTCCAATTCTTTTCTCATGTTTGTGTGGCCATTGATGATCAAGTTCTCATTTGAACTGTCTGTACTCTCTATTTTTGAGTTGAGTTAGAACATCTTCTTTTTTCAGCCTATTTCCATTGTTGTGCAAGGAAATATCCTTTCATGGGGTGTTTATCTATATTATTGTCATCCATTAATCTAGTCTTTATGTTGGCTAAACTCCCTAGTCGAGTTCAGTGTCTATAGTTACATTATGCTTGTATATGTTTAATAGGGTGGACTCAACAATATTGGTCAGTTGTCTAAATAAGAAAGTGAAGAACAATCATAGAATAGCTAAATTTAGAGGAATGGACATCTTTCATACCATACAAAAGTTTGATCTTTCACTGGAAACTCAGCACGTAAAATAGAGAAAACCCTCTATATTCAAGAAATTAACAATCATAAAACCGCATTTGACTTGAGACTGCCAGATATTTCAGATTTTACTGGTATTATTCCCAATTGCTCTTCAATATAGTGCTAGGCCGAAGTTATTAAGATCGAATGTTGCAAAAGTACGATCTCAGCTTGACGCGTTCCAAGCCCTAAGTCTTATCAAACTCCTCATTGCATTCGGCACCAACCTTCCCTGAATTGCAGCTTAATCTCCCAAACGAACCCAAGGATGACAAACTCTTGAAGCTGCTGCTCCCTTCACCAAGATTAAATGACTTTCTTGTTCTTCTAGGCATTGTTGAACTGAACTCCATCTCCATGTCACCATCAGTTTTGTTCTTGGCATCAACTAACCGAGTAATGCCAGTTCGACAGAAGGGACATTGTAGAATTTTTGCAGAATTAGCGGCGGAATTGGGTTTCATGTGACAGCACAAAGCCAGAGTGCAATGAGCACACATCTCATGACCACATTCTTGAACCTCAATTGTGCACTCATGCTCGAAGCAAATGCAACATATCTTGGCATCATCGGCCTGCATGACAAGAATGTTCCCGTTATATTCCTCGATCATAATAAAGAGTAAAGACTAGGTTTGTTTTTGAGTAATCATTTCACGACAAAGCTACAACACCATCCACCGAACTCAACCGGACAATTAACAAGATCTTTTCTTTTTTCTCTCTTAATAGTGTCTATTACTATCAAATCCAACTTACCCAACATGCCAAAAGTGTTTGTTGTTCTCGAAGCAGACCTATGAATATTAAACACAGTTGTACACATGATTGCTATTCCATTTAACTTACTAACAACGTGCTTAGGAAGTTACTGACAAAAAAAAACATGCTTAGGAAGTGTTTATAAAATGTTTAAATTATAAATAGATAGAAATTAGTAATGAATAAGTGGATAGCAGTCGTAAATTCCTCAAAATGTGTAGATAAAAAATGACTTGAGAGTTTTTATGAACAGTTTATAAACACAAGCCAAACATAGTTAAAAATTACAACTCTTATCTTCCCAAACAGAATATTCATTGAAAACAAGTAGCAAGTAGAGACAGTGCACATTGAACCTTGTCTCACTCACTCCGCTCTCCCCAGTATGGTTACTATGCATTTTCAAATGAATCTAAAGCAGTATGTATCATACATAAGCATTTGTACCACATCTTTAAATTAAGAATATATCAGAACAACATAAGACTTGTCATCAAGGAGCATTCATTTGACCCTTTATATAACAAATTTGCATGCCTGGACAGAGGAATACAAGTCATATTACTCAGCCTTTCTGATAGTTGTAAAATTCTTGGACATCGCATAGTTTTTTAAGATAACAAGGATGTTCCACAAGTTTAATTATGGCCATTTTCAACATGAACTGAATCAAAAATCTATAGAGATTTACTCTTAACGAGACATTCATTTATGTGACATGCAATTCAAAATACTTTTGGCAGGGTTTTGCACCTCAAAATCATCGTCAGTGCCACCAGAACTAGAAAGTTGTGGAATTGAGTCAGACACCTCCATCAAGATCGCTTTTTCTCTCTTTATATTGGCTTCAATTAGGGCTTCCTCTAATAAAACTTTTGCCTCAGGATTCAGCTCACTGAAAAATTTCAAGGACGAAGGCCAAGTCAAAGGCTCAGGAGCAAGAGGATTTAACAATGCAGCACATGCTTCATGTTTGTGCTTCATGGCAACCAAGTAAGGTATTCTCCTGCAGATATACCACACATATCAATAAGATATTTGCTTTTACCCGTGAACATCAGAAAATAACTCTCTGTTCGAAAAACACACACACAATATCAACATGGTCAAGGACAGAATTTCCCAAAGGTTAACAAATGATATTTTGTTCAATTGGTTGCATTGCGATTGAACATTATTCCATAGTGACGGCAAAAGCAACATTAAAGTAGACATCTCAAATTTGAGGTGTCCATATTCTCTAAGCGTCTTCACCCAAAACATCTCTACTGTATAATGGATTGATTCATTGATCTCAAAAGAATTCTATAGAGACATGAAATTACCCCATGAAACTATCCGAATAATTACCTAAATTTCTCAATTAGTTAAATGAGAATTATTAAAATTTAATTTTCACACCAAGACTTAAAACCAGTAAAACAATTAAATTTCAGCTCGTATGTGCAATTAGTTAAGTGACTTCACTGGAGATGCATTTGTTTGGAAGAAACTTCCATGGCTCACCCAGAGGAATCTCTCTGAAGATGATCAGCACCCCAAGCAAGCAAATCCTGAACAGAGTCCAAAAAACCACCCCGTGCAGCCAAATGAAGAGGTGTACTCCCTGGGCAGCTGCAAATATTGTCTGTCATTAAATCTGATAATTGCAACAAAATGCTAAAAGAACTAGCTTAAAGGTATACCTATATCCACCAGTAGAAGCACACACAAGAGCCCCACTGCTCAATAGAACATGAACGCAATCTCGTCCTCTTTGACGAGCAGCCAAACGCAGTGGGGTTGCACCACTTCCATCCCTTATGTTTACAAATCTCGAAAACCCCCTGACCTCCCATTTGAGCACAGTAATTAGCTCGTTGTTTTGAATAGCTAAACATTGGTGTACATCAATATAAGACGACATAGGGAGAAAAATAGTCACCAAGACCGTGCAACTGGAGTGAGCAGCAGAAAGAATCAATTGTAGGCAATCCGAATGGCCATAGTAGGCTGCATAATCTAAACAGGTTCTTCCATGTAATGTATCAAACAACAAAATCTGCAAAATAAAATAAAATAAAGAAAAAACCCGAGAAGAATTATGGATCAAATTAGTAACTCCAGTGCATTAAATACTGAAACCAAAAAAGGAAAAATCATTGAAGCAAAATGCAATGATCATACATTTGCTCCAGCTTGAATCAGTCTTCCCATGCAGGAAATCTTGCCATTCGTAGCCGCTAACATCAATGGAGTCTGATCCCATCAGAATCCAAGAAAAGGATTACACATATTTAGCATTCAAAACAGACAAAAATCTAAGAAAAAATGCATCTCGACTTAAAACTGCATGAAAATAACAGGATGAGCTTCCCTTAAACAAGAATCAAACAAGACACCTGTTTGTGGAGATTCAAGATATCTGGATTACTGCACCGATCCAAAAGCACACAAAGAACCTACCAAAGTACAGAACGAAGAAAATTTGATCAAAATGCACAGATATAATTAAGTCGAGAAGATGAGAAAATACAAATAATCACAAATCACAGAGAACCCACCTCGATCTCCCCAGTTGCAGCAGCCCCGTGAAGTGCAGAAAGCTTCCCATGAACGGTTTTCACCATCAACAAATTTGGGTTCTCATCGGCCATTGCTTCGACTGTTTCAAGCTCTCCAGTTTGGACTGCAATGAACAGATCATTTTCGCGGAATTGTCCGCAGCTCAGCCCCTGCCCCATTTCCTCGGCATTAATGAAAATGTCTTAGATTGTCGGTCACGCGCCACCCTCCACGGCGGAGTAGGTTTATGGGGTGATAAAAGTGGCGCCGTAGTGGAAGGGGGATAAGGGTAAATGTGAAGTATTGAAGTGATCTTGGAGTCTGGACTTAATACTAATTAATATTATTTCAGAGAAAAAATCACCAATTATTTTTGTTTTTTTGAAGGACTTGACTTTTTAATTTGAAATAATTGCAGGAGAAGTCCTCAATTTTTTAAAATATGTAGATTATATCCGAACTTCTAAATTATGCAGCAAAAGGTCCCAACTTTCAAAAATGTGCAATGAAAAGATCTGTGGACTGTTTCCATCCAAATATATAATTTGATTAATTTTATGAAAGGCAAAATGATCTTTTAACTTTTAACTATGAAAAAAGGAAAGTTTTCATCGAAGGTCCCCAAACATTTCAAAAAAGTACAACGAATGTCTCAAATCTTTAATAAATGTACGTAGAAAAGACTTCTAACGATTTTCATCCTAAAAGCAACCAATTAACAAAAATATTCATTTTCCCTAATCCACACAGCTACCTAACTGCAACGCCTAACCCACCCATTAGTAGGTGGGGAAGCCTCCGCTACTGTTATTTTTGAAGAGAATTTATAAATCAATCATTTTTGCCTAATTCTTGCTAAGAGAAAATGAAATTGAAATGGATCGGGCTAATGATGCAACGATGGTCACTAATGTTGTGTAAGATTGAGATTGATAAAAAAAATTCATCTTCCCGACCTACCCAACCTAAATCCCCTACCTTATAACACATCCATGGAACAAACCTCTTCTACCTTGACTGGTGAGCCTCATAATATTCACCATCATCCAAGCTATAACCTCGACTGTGTCAACCATCACCAGCTCATTTTCATATCCATCAATTTCATTTCCTATTAACAAAACCCTTTAAAAGAAATGGAAAGAAATAACAAAGATAGATAAGTTCACTTCAAAATCCAAGATATCGATGGCACGCAGAGGCTGGCCCACCTATCAATGGGTGAGGTTGGATGGATTAGGGGGTTAGCGTTTGGGTTAGGTTAATCGGAAAAGATGAATATTTTTGTTATTTGACATATTTTTGGATGAAAATCATTAGAGGTCATTTTGGCAAATATTTAGCGAAGGTTTGCGACATCCACTGCATACTTTTGAAGGTTTTGAGATATCAAATGCAAAATTTCCTTCTTCTTTTTTTAAATTAATTGAATTTAAAAGATTACTTTACCCTTTTTAAAATTGGTCACATTATAACCAAATATTGACCTTTAA